GCGTCTGAATTTTAGATCTTTTCTACCTGACGTCTGTTTCGCAGTACCTTAAAAAATATAGTCAGAATAAAAGTTTGTAGTGGTTTTCAAGTGAATTTCAAAGTTATTTGTGCACAGATTTATTCAACCAGATATCTTCTATTTTGTTCCACTACATTTTGCCATCTTTGAGGCAATTTCATGACTCACTCTATCTGGTGGATGCATGGATGGTGCAATGGATAGTAGGTTGTAATTAGAAATTGGAGAGCTGAGTTTGAATTCCAGTCAGGTTCTTTACATTCACTTATGTGCAAATACCATTAGGAGATGTTTAAATAATAGGCCTTGTATTTGGACAAATAATTTTTATCGCAAAAAAATTGTTAATGCAGTATTCAATCACAGGGAAAAAAAAGAACACTTTCAATACATGTTTTGGTTTTAAGAAAAGAATACTTACAATACATGTTTTGGATTTAAGAAAACAATACTTACAACTCATGTTTTGGATTTAAATAATCTACAAAGGGTTGGTAAGCTGTAAAAACAAATCAGTCAGTTATCGTCTCAGAACTTGAGCTGGTTTTTTAATAGGCTTTCAGAATTTTGAAGTTCTTCACATGAAGACAGTTTTGTAAGGATTAAAATAAACAGTAATCAGGAGGTGCAAGATTATGTAACTTTGGTAGATGAAGTAGGACATTCCAGCGATGTTGTGCCAATTTCTGCCAGATCTGCAAAAGATTTGAGGACTGGTGTTCTGGGAAAAAAAAACCCATCTTTCTAACTGAACAATTCTGGATATTTTTCATCGATTTCTTGCCTTTCATCAGTTCAATTAGGAACAATACAAACTTTTGTTCCAACCCAATGTTTGATTTTTGATCTCTGTTCAGTTCAACAAGTTTTTGTTTTCTATAAATACGAATTCAATTGTTAATTAAAAAAATTGTATATAATAATTTAATGTTTGCTAAGTGAATTTCTCTTTTTTTTTTTTTTTTTTTTTAAAAAAATCACATAGTTCAAGTCGTGATTTCAATGTTTGATATTTCATTTTTAATCTTGAATAAGAAATGTTAATTTATTCATTTTTTTTTTTAATCAGTTATTTTGAAACTCTTCTTTGTTATTGATATAATTTTAAGGAGTGCAACATTGAAAGACCAGTTCTCATATAATCACCAAAGTCAAGCAATATCAAGCCTGGTCATTACCTAGATGAATGACCACTTAGAAGTAACAGCTGCTGTTAGCTTGGATGTGTAGGCAGTGTTAAGGATAATGGCTTGGAATTGGAAATTAGGGAGCTGAGTTCCAATTCAAGTCAGGTTTGTTATCTTACACGGGAATACCTTTGGGAAAAATATGAATTCCCCTCTTCTCCCTCCAGCTATGGGTTAATTAGTAGGACTTGTATCAGTAATTCACTATTATCTTTGAAACAATTCTTAAATTTAAAAAATATTTTCTAGCTTTAAATAACCTGCAAAAGGTTGATAAGCTGTAAAATACAAATCAATTTAAGAGTGCAGAATAAACATATCCATATTAAAGTGCATAGATTTGGAAGCTTATGTCAGGTTATCTCCTCCTAATTTTTGAAACTGCTCCTAGGAGACGCTCTCTAGACTATAAATACTCGGTGATATTTTTTTTAGCTCTCTTACCTTTTCCGCTTACTCATCAACATGTAACCTCTTGTGGAGAATGTGTTCCCTTTGAAAAATGCATGAACAAACCACACACACACACACACACATGTATGTACAGACATTCACTCACTACACATACTTTGTGCCCCAAAAGTTTTCACATTCATTTGACACACACATTTTTGCCTTTGTCACTTGTAATTCTTTATTGTTAATACATTATCATTTGTTTATACATATATATATATTGCTTCTTGTCATTTCTTTTCATTTATTTACATGGACTCACATCCAAAGTCTGCCATCTTTATTGTGGGCATTTCAGGAGACACACATGTTTATCTCTCAACGCAGACACCAGTCCCCAATACATATATTCTGATGTTGCCTGCTTTTCACAGGTTACTCCACAAGCTAATAAATATATATATATATATATATATATATATATATATATATATATATATATGCTTGTACCTTTGCATGAGGGTGTGTCATGTTTGGTATCACAAACAGCTGAGCAGAAACAGAAAGAAAGGGATATAGAGTGTCAAACAGAGAGAGAGAGAGTAGAAAGACAAAAAAAAGAGTGTAAAACAGAGTGAAATTAAATTAGAATAGTGTTGTAGATTCCGGGATGAAATCCGGTCTCAAATGAATGACAAACGCAGGAATGAAATATAGCAAATAAATGTATTGACATAATAATACAATTGGTAATACGGTTAGTAGATCCAGAAATGCAGTTAGTAGCAATAATAATATATATACAGTCTGGGAAATTCAGTATGACTTCCTTCTGAGTCTACGTGCTCGCAACTGTGACTCCTACAAAGCAGTTACCTCACACTCTCACTCTCTCACTACCGGGTATTCACCGGCAGCAGTTCAAGTACACACTGGGCGAGTCCACTTGTATAACAAGGGGTGGACCCCTTAACAAATAGAAAGGGTATCTTTGTTGTGAGGGTTTGAATAATGTTTCCAAACTTAACAATCTATTAAGGGCAAATTCACCCCTGAACTGCAAGTGACCTTTTGAAATTAAATTTTTTTTTCTTTTTATTCTTCAGCAAATTTGTTACAGACTAAGGGAACCCAGACATTTTTGAGCTTTTGAGATGGAAATAAAAAGATGGAGGTATCTGATAGGTATCATCTGAGATAAAGTTAATTTTTTGTAGTGAGGGGTTAAAACAGAGAGGCAGAAGCACATAGATGACATAGAGAGACAAAAGAGAGCATGCAATAGAGAGGGATTAGGGAGGGTGTCATCTTAGAAAAGGCAGTTGTTTGTAGTGAGGGATTAGTTCTTGTTTTTTGGCCTAACAATCTCTTTGAGGACATTTCAGTATTTTCAAGTGTGACTGTCATTTTTCTTAGAACTATCTGGGAATGGTCATGGCTGGTTTTTTTAAGAATTTGTTTTATAAAATTGTTATAACAAAGGCACTGTTTATACTTACCTATTTTGTCACTTTAAACATTATTTTTAGTAGATACTTATATTTGTTTAGACATTCTGTTTGTTTATTAATCAGTATATTTATTTTTTTTACTGGTCTGAATATTCAAGAAATCTTATGAAAGAAAAAATATGCATTCTCCAGCAGGATTCAAACCTGTGTCCCCCTGGGCAGAGGGAACCATTTTTGGATCCAACGTGTTCTAGATCAAATGAGCTACAAACAACTAACCAATCAGGTAAGGCTGAATAGTGCTTTTAAGTGAAATTCTTCTCATCACAGAATCACAGAATTTTTCATACTGCTCAGTTTTGTATCCAAATGCAAACAAAGCAATTTCTAAAGAAGTAATGGATCTTGCATTTATTAATCCAACATATTTTATCTCTTTAAATGTTATTTTTAGTGGATATTTATATTTGAGTGGATGTTCTATTTATTTATTAAACAGTATATTTATTTTTGTCTGCTGGCTGGGATATTCAAGAAATCTTATTAAAGTAAAATATGCCCTCTCCAGCAGTCTAAAGTGATAAAATCTGTCAAATTAATAAACGAAAAATCCATTACTTCTTTAGAAAACTTAGATAAAATACATAATATAAATCCTTGAAGATTCTCAAATGTTGAACAAATATTTTAAAAAAATTTTTGCTGAATTCAATTAAAATTTAGCCTCAAAAATCAAACACTTTTCACGAATAGGAACATAAAGAATTGTGCAAAGGGTATGATTATATTTCTTAAATCTTCAGTGAAGAATTTCTTTCATAAAATATGAATGTATTAGAAAAAAAAATTAAATGAATTAGAAAAAATATGGCAGTCTGTGCACTTTAAAAAATGTAAAAATGTGTAGAGAAAATAAAAAAAATATTATAAAGTGATTCGCTGGATGTTTAGATAAATAGACAGTCATGAAAAGAGTAAAATAGGAATAGTTTGAGATAGATATTAACAGACTAAGGTAAATAGATTATTCATAATTAGGATAATCCATATCAGACTGCAGTGAATAAAAGCAAAGAAGATATATTTTGTAAGTGAATCAGTAAATAGTATGATATCTTAGAATAATTGGATAGATATGAACAGATTTAGATAAATATCAATAGATGGAGATTATTTATGAAATAGATAAATGTGAATAAACTTAGAGATAGACAAATATCAAGAAACTGAGAGAAATATTGTTGTATCCTTAAAGAGGTTACAAACTAACAAAGGTAGTACTCGAGTGAAAGGAACAGCAACATGTATGTAGATGGAAAAAAAGAGAGGTTTATTGTAAAATAGAATACACTACTGAAAGACGGAATCGGTTAACAAGCTAGTAATTCCCAAAGCAAGTCCACCAGGTATATCCTGTGCTTACTATATATATATATATATATATAGTCAGTCCGTGATAGGGAAAGTGGGACATTGCATTACAACAAATATATTGATAGATATGGACAAATTGACAGATGATAAAAACAGACTTAGATAAGCAGATAATGAACTGAGAAATATAGAGAGATGTGAACAGTCTGAGATAGATAGGTATAGAGATACATGTAAATAGAATTAGATATATACATTATGTGAACAGACTGAATGATATAGATATATAATAGAGATAAATATGCAGGTAGATAAATAAATGAGTTTAGATAGGAATATATTGAGAGAGATCTTAGATTGGTACAGAGATAAATAGATGTGGATAGTTTGTGATATAGAAATGGATATATGCGTTCTGAGAATGATGTGTGAATGGACTTAGATAGATATGAACAGATTATGATAGATAAGAGACGGAGATATCACTCAGTGGGGTACATAGATGCCTGGACTCAATAGATATGGATATACACAAGTGGAACTTTGTTCATTTTCTCAGATGAATCATTTTATGACTGGTCTTTCTGCTGTGACTTTTGTCAAAACTAATTTCTTTTCAGTCTCCTTTTTCCCCCTCTTTCTCTTTCCATCTCTGTTTTTCTCTTTCTTTTTTCCATCTCTGTTTTTTCCTCTTTCTTTTTTTCATCTGTTTTTCCCCCACTTTCTCTTTTCATCTCTGTTTTTCCCCCACTTTCTCTTTTCATCTCTGTTTTTTTCCCACTTTCTCTTTTCATCTCTGTTTTTCTCCTCTTTCTCTTTCCATCTCCATTTTTTCCCCACTTTCTCTTTTCATCTCTGTTTTTCCCCACTTTCTCTTTTCATCACTGTTTTTCCCCCTTTCTTTTCCATCTCCGTTTTTTTCTTTCACTCTTCCGTTTTCCCTCCATCTCCGTTTTTTCCTCTTTTCACTTTCCATCTCCTTTTTTTCCCTCTTTCACTTTCCATCTCCGTTTTTTCCCCTCTTTCACTTTCCATCTCCATTTTTTCCCGTCTTTCTCTTTTAATCTCCATTTTTTCCCTCTTCTCTTTCCATTTCCATTTCCCCCCCTCCTTTTTTCCATTTCCGTTTTTCCCCCTTTCCATCTCCTTTTTTTCTCTTTCCATCTCCTTTTTTTACCCCCTCTTTCCATCTCCTTTTTTTCCTCTCTTTCCATCTCC